TCGCGCCGCTCGCCAAGGTCATCCACGACAACTTTGGCATCGTTGAAGGCTTGATGACGACGGTGCACGCCGTGACGGCCAACCAGCTCACGGTCGACGGTCCGTCGCGCGGCGGCAAGGACTGGCGCGCCGGTCGCGGTGCCGGTGCCAACGTGATCCCGGCGTCGACGGGCGCGGCCAAGGCCGTCGGCAAGGTGCTGCCGGAACTCAACGGCAAGCTCACGGGCATGGCGTTCCGCGTGCCGGTGCCCGACGTCTCGGTCGTCGATCTCACGGTGCGTCTCGAACGCGGCGCGTCCATGGCGGCCATCAAGGCGGCCGTCAAGGAAGCGTCGGAAGGCTCCATGGCCGGCATCCTCGGCTACACGGAGGACGAAGTCGTGTCGAGCGACTTTATCTCGGACAAGCGCTCGTCCATCTTTGACGCCAACGCGTGCATCGCGCTCAACGACAACTTTGTCAAGCTCGTGTCGTGGTACGACAACGAGTGGGGCTACTCGAACCGCCTCGTCGACCTCGTCTTGCACATGGCCACCGTCGACAACTAAATAGCTAGTGTCTTCGTCTTGTAATTCAAGATTGTCTTTTGTTTTTGGAATTTGCGAGCTTGTTTGCCAGAAGTCGCGGCTTAAGAAATCAAGTCTGGACACAATCCGCGGTGGCAGCGGCCACGTCCACATTGCATTGGGGACCGGCAGGCGTCGTCGCGCAGGGTGTCTTGACTGCACTCTCTCGATGGTCACGTACTTGCAAGGGTATTACACGGTATTACACTGTAATACATAAAATTTGTACTCTCGGTACTTGCGGCACTTCACACGGCTGTTGTACCTGCAAGCTTGAAGGAAGGGGGCCGTGCACGATTGTCTACAGTGGTGCCGCCAGCTCTTGTCAATAGTTCGCATGGTTCAGCGACAAAACGGGCGGGGCCTCGAGGACAACGATCTCGGGTTGTCGCTGGATCGTACAACGTAGTTCGAGGGTAATAGGTCTTTGCTTGAGCCTATCCAGCGCAGAGGACAGAGTGTGTAAACGATGGTGGCGTTCGCCTCTGTATCGCTGCTGTGGCTTCCCGCATTCCGTCAGTTGGCAATGTTCCAGCAGCTGCGCAAAGAGGCGGCGAGTGCCTCGATGGGGTGGCGCGCCGGGATTTTTACTCTGAGAAAGCAGACGCATCGACGCCGACTTGGCACTGCGTGCATCGCAGTACCGGTATGAACAAGCCAGAGCGCTGTAAACAAGCCAGAGAACACGGCCACGGACACCGCCCGACTCGACGATTCAGCGTCCTTCTCAACGCGGAGCACGGTGCATGGACGTCACGATCTTGGTCGCGCCCGTGGCGATGTTATTACAACCCAAAATGAAAACAAAATTTATTTCCGGCTCGAAATACGGTGCGGTCCAGCATTGATGGGGTAGAATGTTTGCGCGTATCAAGGTATCAGTTGAAAATGCTCAGCTGTGACGAGCACCGCTTGACGTTCTGTGCCATGGTTGCTTCGCTGTCCATGCACAAGTGTGCCATCACAGTTCGTTGGCCGATTGCTCCACGTACACACACAAAAGCGTTGTTCGGGCGTACTAGTACGACTGACGCACCAGATGTCGTCCGAGTTGCTAGCCATCGGTGCAGCAACTCATCCAGACATTTCTGCCCAAGTCGCTCGTTAATCAAAGCAATTTCACTAGAATAAACATAAAATCTTGAATCAACATGATGAAAGAAATCGATTGCACTGTATCGTCGGCTCAGCTGGTGTTACTTGATGAGGGGCAGTGTATGTTGGAGTCGATGCGAGACGTTTTCGCCGTCGTTGGTCACACGTGCGACCTCGTCGTCCGTGAGCACGATCACTCGCCACGTCTTGATGTCAAAGATATAACGCGTTTTCTTGTAGGGTAGAACGAGGAGGCCCGAGAGCGCTGCCGATGCATAGTCGAGATAGTAGATTCCATTGACGACCCATCTCTCCTTCTCAAAGAGGTACCTTGCACCGGAGGTAAGCAAGTACGAGTCCCTCTCGAGAGGCGGCGGGAGGCGAAATCGCGCGCGGTCCAGCACGAACATGGCCGTTGAGACGCCGACGGCAGTGACAGACAGCGTTACAAGACGCGTGAATGAACCAATCGTGACGACGCCGCTGTGGCACTCCATCAAGAGATCCATCGACACAAAGACGCAATCGCGATCGATGGTCACGCTGTGCACTACCGGTGACAAGACGCTCAGCAAAACGGCCAGAAGCATGCAAAGCAGCGCCGCCTTGATCGTGTAGCTGGCCGAGTACTGACGCGTGATGACCATCGCAATGTCATTGTAGATGTAGACAAGCCAGCCCAGCTCACTTGCGGCAAGGACCCTGGTGAGAAAAGCCATCGGCGCCGCGACGTCGCTGCGTGAGGTGACGAGGACCGTCGCGTCGCCATACGCTACAAGCTCGAGCGTCGCCGTCGACAGAATGCAAAGCGCCGAGACGCTTCGCACGAGCAGAAGCGGGCGGCCGATCCAGACCATGCCACCGACGCGGTTGATTTCCAAGAGGTTCCAGCCTTCGCTCGCGCCCATGGTCGAGACCGTGTAGAGACTAATGACGATGGCCAGTACGACGAGGACGAGAGAAATGTACTGGCAAAAGCCGCGTACATAGTGGGCGGCGTTCAAAGGCAGCTCGATCGCACTGGCTGAAAACGTGGCTGGCTTGGACTGCGCCGTAAGGATCGTTAGCGAGTCGACGTCGCCAGTAACGACAAGGGCTTCGCGAGTCCCGACGGCCCAGTCGTATGCGAGCGCCCAGCTCATGTAATGCATGTCGAGCGATTCAAACAGCGGTTCGAAAAAGAGCGTGAGCGACTGGGTTGGCACATGCTGGGCGTACTGCATGGTACCAACGTGCAGCGAGAGAACGTCGCGCTCGACGTCGTGTGCGCGGTCTCGAGACGTAGATGGAAGGTACGTGGACGTAAACGCATGTACACTGCGGAGGCTCGCGACGCAGTCAGCCGGTGCAATCGCCTCGGGGGCACACGCCATGGGAATGGTGTTGGCAGTTAGGCCCGACGACAGCACTGCAAAGATGGCTTGGGCACTCGAGACAAAGATCCATTCGTTAAACGCCGTGTTGCATGTTGCGTGGACGCCCGTAAACTGCGACATGCCATTTGTAAAGTTCGAGTCAAACGCGAGGTCGTTGCAAAAGGGGTTGCCACCGGCGCAGCGATAGGTCGCCCGGTCAAGTGACAAGGGCACGGGACTGAGCGAGTTGAGAAGCACGAGTGCCTTGTAGCTCTCTTGCGTGGGAAACGCCGAGGACGAACTACTTGATGTCGTCGTGAGCGCCACCGCGAGTGCCTCGCGAACATCGCGCTGCAAGGTCAAGAGGGACTGCGGCGGCGCAACATGGTAGAGATCGACACTCCCAAACGGACCGATATGGGATTCAAAGACAACGTACGCAGCTCGCAGAGGGGCTTGCAAGACCGAGCCATTCCGCGTATATACCGCCGTGGCCGAGAGGTTCTGAAACGCAAACCGAGGACTCGACCGCAGGAGCGACAGGCCTGCGAGCCCACTGCTGTTGCCAGTAATCGCGTCAAGGTCGCTTGCGAACGACCAGTACATCTTGCGCGACGTCGCAGCCGCGAGGCGATATGTGGCTTGCGTCGACTGCAACGTCAAGTCGTAGCGAATACCAAACGCGTTCTCGACCGAGAAGACGTCCGTGAGGCCGAGTTCCTTGTAGTTTTGCCACTGGGGCAAGTAGAGCGCGAGGTCGTATTCTTTTGTCCAGAGATCAACTTCGCTCTGGACGGACCGCGCGTTGAGCGGAAGGGACGCCAGCCAGCGGTGGCCGTTGGGCAGCAGCGAGACAGCGTCCATTGCAATGCCCGTCTCGAACGCCGTTCCCCAGCACGAATGAAACCGGTCCCACTGCACATTGCGCAAGAGGGCTTCAAGGTACACGGCGGCATTTCTCGTCTGCTTCAAGGCGCAGCGTTCTTGGCGGGCAGATGTCACGGCCATTTCAACGCGTCTTTCCAAGTCTAGCAGGCAGTAGGCGGTTGCAATCCACGGCGCGTCGCAGCCGTCCATGGACCGAAGCCCTTGGATCACGCGGGGTAGGGTCTCACCGGTTTCGTACTGGACGCGATGGGCATACAGCGGCGAAAAGACGACACGCGGCATGCTATTCGACGCATACGACGTCATGTCGGCAAACGCCATCGTGTCCAAGCGCGTAGATGACAGCACTGGCGTCACCTGCACATGTCGGTTAAACCAGTTGGCGATGAACGTCTGCGTGCCCGTCGTGTTGAAGGTCGCCCACCAAAAGTCGTTGGCGAGGTTCACATACGAGAGCCGAAGGTACGAGAGACTGCTGCCAGCCGTCCCGAGAACGTAGGCAAGTCCCACGATTACCATGAGCTTTGCTCGCAGGATTTTGCTTCCTCTTTTGACTATGGTCGGCGACAGAGGAGGCGTCTCGGCGCGCCGGGGGCAGACAACAGGAAGTGGGGGGCCCACAACGGACGGCGCCGTAAAGACAACCCAGAGTTTAATGTCAAATACGACGTGCGTCGGTCCTAGACGCAGGCGCACGAGGCCACTGGTGCACGCGGTCACCGCATCGATACTCCAAATATCCCCGACCGGCGCAAGCAGCGCTGCAGCGGCCGCAGCGAGAGGCCACGCAACATCAACAGGAGGCGCCATGCGGCTACGTCGACCGCATAAAACCCGCGCGCAGACGTTGCATACCACAACAGCACCACCGGTGATGGCGGCGATGAGCCAAGCGCGGGCGGCAGATCCGATCACGACGCTACCCCCCGTACAAGACAGCTGCACATACACGTTGACGCGCGAGCACTCGCGGTGAAGCGTCGCGGTCAGGCGAATTGGCGAAAGCACTTCGAGAAGCACGAGGGTACTCCATACGAGCGCCGTACTCAAGGGACCCGACCATATCGGCGCGGACGGCAGCACAAGCAGGACGTCCGCCACCACAATGGTACCCCACGTCGCCTCGCCAGCGAGCACGACAACGGCCCCAAGGTCGCGCGGTGCAAACACAAATCTGCCGAGCGGTTGAGATTCAAAAAGGATCCGCGCGGTGCTGAGGACGGTCGTTGCGACGGCGGCGCGCAGAAGAAGGATCGGTCGCCCGAGCCAGACGGGCCCTGCGACACAGTTCAGATGCCACAGGGCCAGGACATTCTTGTGTCGGTGGCCACTTCGTGCAAAATACAGTAGCGTCAAGAGCGCGACGAACAGCAGCCAGCTCGTGGTCGTGAGCACGACATAGTACACGTACGTGGCGGTGGGCGTCAGAACTTCAAGGCCGCGCGCTGCGAACGGCAGGGGCTCGGCACGCTCGGACAGCAGCGTGAAGGAGCGCGTGTCGCCTTGGAACGAAACGACTTCGCGGAGGCCGAGTGCCCACTCGTGCAGCATGACCCAACCAAAGAAAGTCCAGTCTTTATCCAGTACGTTGTTGCGCCACACTGAGGTGGTGCCATTCGTGTCGATAGCAAACTGAACCATTTCGACGTCGAGCAAAGCGACAGCGTCCATTGCTGCCTGAAGACGCGAAAAGAAGTCATCGGTTGCCGCTGCCTCGGCCAACACGGCTGTAACTACGTCGCCTGCAGCACGCACCGCTATCGTACAAAACGTCATCGTGGCCACGCTGCACGGACGACAGGCATGGTCGCCATCCTTTCTTGCCACAATCGCAGCAGCAAAAACCGTGGGTGGCACAGTTAGCGCCAAGCGACTGGGCACTTCGGCACCGCACGTGTCGTCAAATGCAAACGACGGCTGCACATAGGGTGTGCCGAGACCATACACACACAGTGGACTGCCCCCGAGAAAGCGCAGCGTCGTAGTGGACGTTGGCCACACCACTGAAACAGGGTCCAAGAGAGGCCTCGGAACGGCCTTGTAGGTCTCGAGAAGACTGGGGTGCATTTGCAGTGCACGGGCAACGCAAGCTTCAAAGCTCGTGACAGCGTCCACAAGTGCACTCGGCGGCGGGATCAAGAAGAGGTCCACCGACTGGAACGGCCCGAGTTCATTGTGCAATGCAATGCTCGCGGGGGTAAACGGGTACACCAGCAAAAGGGACTCGATCGTAGCGTCGCCAATGTAGTTGGTTGCATCGCGGACAAGGCTGCTGTTGGTGACGGCGGCAGCCCATAGATCGTCAAAAAACGCTCAGTTGAGTGCAAACGATGTCCACATGGAGCTTTTTGGCGCATATGAGATCGAAATGGTCGTCAGCGCCTGCGTCCACCCGAGCATGTTGACCACGCCAATCGACTCGTGGATACCAAACACATCCATGTTGCTCCACTGCAGCTCGTATGTGACAATGCGCTTGGATTTCCAGAACGCGACCTCGTCGTCAATGGACGTGAACGCATGCGCGAGGCTCGCGAGCCAAGCTTCGCCGCCCGCCGCCCCACTGATCGCGTCCCCGACGGCCGCGTCAAAGCTCGCACCGTACAGCGCCGTCCACGGGGCCCACGCCACATTGCGCAACACAGACTCGAGGTACACGGCGCCGTTGGCGTGCAGAAACGCAGTACACCGCGCTTGACGCGCCGCCGTGTGGGCGAGCGCCCAGCGCCGATCAAAGTCGGCCCAACAGTAGAGCGTCATGAGCGAAAACGTGTAGCTCGGGTCGAGCGACCGGAAACCCACGACCGCGTCCTCCACCGACGCGTAGGCACCGAGGGCAAGCGACCGGGCGTACGTCGACTGGATTAAGCCCACGGTCGTCGGTGCGCCGTAGACCTTGACGATCCCTTCGCGTGCGTCCAAGAGGTCGAAGGACAAAGCGTCGTTGGCCAATGTTGTCGTCAAGTGTCGTCGGTAGACGTCGAGCAGGTATGTTTGCGCCGTCGACGCGGCAAACTGTGGCCAGAAGAGGTCGTTCTGCAAGCTCGGTGTCACAAGGTCCACAAACCAGACACTGCAGTACACGGACACGAGCACATGGGCGACGCTGAGCGCCTGCATGAGCTGGTGCCGGTGGACCATCAATGGCGTTTGGGTCGAAACCGCCGCTGCGTAGGTGTTTCGCCCGCATTGCAATCCTCTCGGTCTAGTTTCACAAGGTTCACGCCGTTTTCGATTATCAGGCACAATGACATGGAGACTGCATGGAGCCAAGCTCGTTTTTCACGTTATACTCGACAGCTTTTCGATATACGCTAAACTTTTTCTGTCGCTTGGCCCTGGGTTTCGTGTACTCGAGCGCCAATTGCTTGGGCTGCAGCGTCATCTTGGCTGCGGTACACTGTCGTCGAATCATGTTGACGTACGCTTGCATGTCGTACTTGCGCTTGAGTCCGTCGGCATTCATGTAGCGCACCTTGCCAAAGATCGCGCGCTCGGCCCAGCCCGTGTCGTGCTTCCTACATACCTTGACGTCATCTCCATGTCTCCACATTTTTCAAAGAATCTACCCAAAGACCCACGCAATCCCCGTGTACGAGTTGGGATCGGACCCGTCGAGGTTGTACTTGTCGTTGAGGCGCATGCAAATCTCATACGCTTCATCCGGCGACGCCGTCCATTCGAGAATCTTCTTGCCCCAGTACATGCGCATGTAGTTTTGCATCTACCGCAAAACTATCAACCTTTCAAGTTGCAGGCACCAGTCCGACCTTGCCGTTGACAATCATGTCGAGCTGGGCCGCGTTCCAGTACGCGTCGTGCGTCATCGCCTTGTCCAGCTGCGCTTCCGTGTAGATGATGGCCCGCGCGTCGTCGGCGTGAATCGCCAGCGTCTCGGTCGCAAACGGCGGAAGGCTCTTGATCGAGTCGTAGTGGCGCGGGTTGAACCACACAAAGTTCATCGAGAGCTCTCGGCGCACAATGAGCTCTTCCAGGAACGACGCTTTGGACGCGGCCATTGCGGGCCCCCGGCCTTCGGTCGCATTCACCTGCAGCGCAATGTCGACGGGCGAGATGTTGCCATAGTGTAAATACGGCGAGAGGTTGCTCGCGCCATTTCCGCTCGGCTCGTTGCGCTCGGTGCCGTACTTGAGCAGCTTCTTGCTCAAAAGCTGGCCAGCACCGACTGCGCCGACGTCTCGCCGCCGAGAAAGGTCGAGACGCGTGGGATGCTGCGATCGACGTCCTTGGCCGCGGCAAGGAGCGTGTCGACGGCCGACGCATCGGTCAGGTCGAGCCATGCATCGTGGCGTGACAGCGAGATGGCTTGCAGCTCCTGCAGGGATTTCGGGGCCGATGACGGCGGTGTGTACGCAATCGATGGCAGCGGCGTAATGTACGTTGGCAGATGCTTGGTGATCTTGGGCCGAAGCGTTCGCGCCGCGTACTCCTCCTTGTTGCTTGCGACTTCAACGGGCACGACCACGTCGCTCTCGACCTGGACGACCGGCGCTGTGACCTGCTCGCCAAACGACGTGCAAAGCTTACGCCCTGCCCGGAGGTACTGGAGCTCGGTCACGACGAGCGACGCGTTGCGGCTCGCGGCAAGGACAAGGTCGAGAGGCCCGTCCGAGCCCGACGAGCAGTGGACGGCGCTGAATGGGATGTGGTGCGTCTGTGCGAGCGACTTGTTGACGTCATACAGACTCTCGAGGAGAAAGGCCATGTGGCGCTCCGACATGCCAGCCTCGCGCGTGTCCAGCGTGTAGAGCACGTACAACGGCTTCTGGAGCGCAGTCGCCGCGGCCATGGCGACGTGAAGTGCGTAGTTGTAGCGCGTGCGCAGCGACGTCTGCATCCAGTAGAGCACGTGCGAGCCGCTGGCAAGCGCCGCCGAGCCATGCAACCAGCGGAGGCGCTCGGCCTTGACGCCCGCAACTGCCAAGTCGACCAGCTTCATACGAGAATGTACAAGAATACGCTCGATGGTGAAATCCGTTTTTGTGGAATTCGACGGAATTCCTTGGGACAAGTGCAATGTGTCGGTGACCGCACGTTATCCCAGCGCTCGAACGGCCCGGAGTTATGTTGCCTCGAGCCTACCTGGGTGTACTACGAGGTTGGGGGTCGTGCGGGCATCAACACCCAGCGGCTATGTAGTAGTAGTATCGTTGTGGACTCTGACATGGCCGGCTACCGGAACCATGACGACAGTGCATTTCAATACACGTTTATCATTGGTCAATAATCGAATTATTAAACCAATCACACGCGATGTGCATCGCGCTTTGGCCGCCACCAACAGCGCGAGGGCCGAATTCACATTTGAAAACGAAATCGCCCAGACGCTCCACACGGATAGAAGCGGGTTTGGAGACCATGAAATGCTATGCTACGTCATCGTGCGAGACGTATAGCGAGAGAAATCGGTCCATATGTTAATAATGGCATGTGCCATATATAACCTCCTATAGCCATATAGCCACATATAGCATGTAGTCACGACCCGGTGAGCGAATGAAGGATCTACCGGTACGTATGCGAACTCTTTGCAAGAACGAAGAGAACGCGAAACACGTTCATATATAGTAGGTTTAACTAGGACACCCAGTACGGCTGCTTGTGCGCCAAGACGTAAATCAAGTCGTTGCCCGTCATAATGTCATGCGACTTGGGGTTCACGTATGCGAAGCCGTACGGCACGGGGCGTACGGGCTCTGGGATCTCAATGCGACTCGAGCCTCGACGGCGCGACAAAATGCGGACCGGCGGCGACAGAACTTCGGGGATGCCGGGCAGCGACGTGGCTTCGTTTGGTGTGAGCGGCGGGCTGCCAAAGCCCACGTTGCTGCTGCCGCAAAGGTCGTTTGCATCCATCACTGTTGGCTCGGGCGTCTCAGCGACCGGGAGGCAGCGGTAAATGCCAAGCGTGAGGATCGAGTCGGACGCGAGGAGGTAGTCGAAGACGTAGCCAAACGATTTGCCGACAAAGTCCGTGGGCATTTCACACGTGAACAGCGACGAGCGCTGGATCGCGTGCGGCGTCGGCGCACCCGGCTTGACGGGCGAGCTCACATTTGGAAAGACTGCCGTGTGCTAGACGGTAACGAGGTCACATCGACAACATCCAACACGCATCGTCGTACCGCCCGCAGTGCCGAGAAGACAAATTCGCGCACAATGTTCTTGATCATCGGGTTGAAAAACTGGTTGATCATGAGGCTGTCGCAGAGCGACGTGCTGTACGTCAAGCCCGACGCAAAGGCCCGCGACCGCGAGAAGCTGCCGACGTCGACAAGCGAAAGCTCTGCGTCCGGGTCTTTCGTCTCGTCGGGAAACCAGCTCGAGGACGCAATGTTGTGCGAGATAAAATGCACGTTTGCTCTACCCGTCCATTCAGTCCACCAATCCAACAGACACGATAGAGAATACCGGTTGACGAGCTCGGTGATGACGGCTGGCGCGCGCTCGGGCCCGAGCAAGCTCGTAATGCTCTTGTGCGTCGCGATCGACGTCTAGCAAAAGAGGGCATTTCATACAAAGGACGAGCGCGCGTAAGTTGTACCGCATCGGCGAGGAGCTCGGCGCTGCTCGTTTCGGCAAACTCGCCGCCGCCGCACATGAGCACAATCCGCTTGGCGATCTCGACGCCGGCGCGCTTGAGCGACTCGAGGCAGATCTTGGTCGTCTCGACAAAGTACACGTCCGAGTAGACGCTGATTGGGTCGTACGACTCGCGCGACGGCAGTTTCTGCGTCAAAAACACGATCGGGTGGTGCTCCTTCATGATCGGCGACCGCAACGGCACGACGAAGTACTCCATGTGGTCGGGAAACGTCGGCGCGAGGAGGCACACGACGATCGGCGCGATCGCCAGCTTGAGTTTCGTCACGTCGTTGACAACCGCGTCCTTGAGATTCCGCTTCACGTGGCCCGTGCTCTTTTGATCGGTGATCGCCCACACAAGCGTGCGCGAGTTGCGCTTCTTCTTGACAAAACCGCCCTTGCGCTTCACCGGTGCATCGCTGGCCGCCGGAGGCAGCGACGTGAGGTCCTTGATGCTGTCCGCTTTCAACATGCTGTGGCTCGGTGGCACGACCGGCTTGGTGCTGCTCTTGGTGCTGAGCCGGCTCACGGCGTCGGCCGCCTTGCGGTCCCGTGCAATCACAAACCCGACTTCACCGCCGACGCAGAGGTACGTGCTGCCGGGATTGAGCACGATGGTGCCATGGCCCTGCACAGGGTTCCCAGGCACGATGTGGATCGCAAAGAGGATCACGCCGTCGCACTGCGAGTAGATCCACGACGATACTTCGGCAAACGTGAGACCCGCGATTGTCTAGTAGCATCCGGATCAGCCTCTCGCTTCGACGATGGCGTACCTCGGCTGGCGGCAGCGTCACCGAGTAGAGCTCGTGACTCGCACCGTGCAAGTAGCGCGACTCCCACGTATCGTCGAGGTCGGTCTCGCACCTAACGCATGTAGAATAGAGTCAACCATCATAAAAACCACACACAAAAGCAAAAAGCGTCAAACTCGCAATCCAACCTTACCCAGCGGTTGTCGTGAGGTTGTAAATGAACGTCGAAAAGCCGGGGCAGAGACAGTTTTGCGCCAAAATCGAGTGGATGACTTCGCTGAAACAGAGCACATTGTTGCTCTTGATGTCTTGGAAAAGATGCTTGTTGCTCGAGAGATGCAACTGCGCGTAAATGGGCACGTGCTTGGCGACGCGATGGGCCGCCATCGCGCGCATGAACGTCCGGTGGTCCGACAAGTTGACGTCTTCCTGCCCCACCTTGCGCGTGAGCACAAAGATCGCACTGGCCGACGAACACGCCGCGCGCTCGGCGTCGTAGTCGTGCAGAATCGAGCCTTTCAGGAATGTCGTCCGCTTGGCAATGAACGGGTCGAGGAGCAGTGCGACCTAAATCACAAAAATGTAAAAAAATATTGGACGGCATAGTTGCGTACGAGGTCGGACGACGGCTCGTCGTCTGAGAGCACGGCCACGCGCGTGTCAAGAAGGTCGTGGTCTTCATGGAAGATCTCGTTGAAGAACTGCTCGATGCGGTTCGGCGTCAAGTCGCCACAGAGCACAATGTGCTTCATGCGCCGGGACGGCTTGAGAACGTCGTACTCGTACGACGAGTAAGACCCGTAGATCTCAAAGAAACTCGAGAGCTGGTACGGCACGACGATGATGAGGAGCACGATGAGAAACATGACAAAGCACTTGGTGAGCGGGTTGTCGGCCGTCGGGTAGTTCATCGCGACAAAGAGCAAGAGCGAGTTGAAGCACGCGTTGAAGAAGGTCCACTCGCCATTGTACGTGTCCATATCGCCGTACGTCGTCTCGGCAATCTACGCTTCATACATTGAAACAGCTGGCCAAAACGAGACGACAAAGAAGACCTGGATGACGCCACCGGCGCAAAACAAAAGACAGAGAATCTGGAGGTACGCGTTGACGGCAAAGAGCGTCATGGGCGTCACGTCATTGTGGAAGCGGTTGATGACGCGCCGGACTTCGATGTAGACCTTGAGGAACCGTAGCGGGTAGACAAACCGCCAGTACGTTTCTGTCGTCCAAAAGTTGCTACCGACCACATTAGCAGCACGCGTTGGAGCCATGGACGTACTAGTCTTGGATAAAGAACGAGACGGGGATCACAGGCACGATCGCGCCGAGGTTGACAAAGCCAGAAAATGAGATCATGTCGTCGAGCGGCTCGGTCGAGAGCGCCATGCCACGGAACGAAAAGTCGGCGAGGAAGAAGCCGGCACAGAGGAGCTCCATGTGCCACAAGTACGGAAGATGCTATGCGTCCATTCATAGGACCATGGGTCTTCTCCACATATATGTACCGCGTCGTTGGGAAGGTACGTGTACGTGATGTAGATGGCCGCAAACACAAGCGCCATGCCGGCCTCGACGATGTCGACCATGGACCCAACGTTGCTTTGGTCCAAGAACCTACGTGGCGTGTGCATGAGACACCGAGGTCGTGGCAGGACGAGCGAGACCGGCTCCAACGGTCACGGCTCTGGCGCTGGAGGCCACCGCAGCACGAGTCCCAGAACGACCGGCTGTCGGCGATATGCTTGTCGTTCCAGTTCTTCTTGCCAGCAGACGTCGTCCACGTCGGGCTGTTGGGCAGGCTGCCATAGTCGGACTTGTACGCTTGCGGTTGGAGGAGTGGCGACCGCATGTCCGCCCGCGGCGAGAGGAACGTCGGCGCCAGCGGAGGCTTCTCCACCAAGCGCGGTGCACCGAGCTCCGTGGGCGTCTTCTCGGGCGACGTCCCATACGTTGCGGCCGCGGACGTCGCGGTCAGCGGCTGCGTCTCCATCCGACGGCCCTCGAAAAGATTTGGTTTGCGCCTCGTTCTAGGGCGATCCTCGCGCTCCAATTCGGATCCCTGCACAGTGCAAGCTTCGATCCGTGCTTGAATTCGGACATTGGCACCGTACTGCCGTCTCATTGGCTGGAACCCTGTGGTTGAAGAGGACAGGCCCTTATCGTAGGCCTCAAATCCTACCGGAAGTGCTCCAGCGAGCGCGGCCGTTTCAAGACCGGTTACAATCAGCAAGTCCTGTCTACGGCAGTCGTCGCAGTGGACTCGTTGCATTGGGCAGCGTTAAGCAAGGCAATATCTTATTTATTCCCTTGGTGTAAAGGGACGAAGAAGGCTTCATCATCTCGGTGATGTCCTACTTGCTTGGACTTCAATGCTTGCTTCTCATGTTGCCTTGTGATGCCGACAATGTGAGGTTGAAGCAAAAATGTACATATAGATTAGAATTTTTAGATTGCCTTTTCCATGAGGAGGCGGCGCTGAGCGCCCGAGCTCTTGAACGCCTTCATCACGCGGATCTGCGTGCGGAGGCGGGCAAAGGTGCGCATCCAGAGCTCCTTGCCGCGCGCCGACGGCTCGTGGACCGCCTCGACTTCGTTGCACGAGGTGAAGAACTGCGGGAAGTGGTCGGCGTGCACACAGCGGAGCAACAGGCCGACGGGGAGCGAGAGCGCGCCAATGCCGATGCAGATAGCCCACTGCGAGGCCGAGAGCGGCGCGCACTTGAGCGCGAGGCCGCCAAACTGGACCATGAGCGCCTGGAGCGTGATCTGAAAGATCTGGATGCCAATGTAGAGCTTGTTCTGGAAAAAGCCGTCAAAGACGTTGAGCTCGTCGTGGATGCGGCGGGCGTTGATCTCGTTGAAGAGCTGGAGGAACACGAACGTGTTGAAGATGATCGTGTAGTGCTCGGTCGGGTTGCTGTCGACGCGCTCGTCCTTATAGCCCGGCTTGACGTTGATGAGCGACGGGACGAACGTGAGCACGAGCATGACAATGAGCTGGAAGATGCCCTGGCCGACAATGTGCTTGAACATCTTGCGCGAAATCAGGGCCTTCGTGCGAGGGTACGGCTTGCGCTCGAGGAGCGCGTCGGTCGGCGAGTCGGTGGCAAGGGCCAGCGACGCAAACGTGTCCATGATGAGGTTGACCCAGAGCAGCTGGATAGCCGAGAGGGGCGACTCTTCAAGGACGATGGCACCAATGATGGCGATCGTGATGGCCACCAAGTTGACCGTGAGCTGGAACTGGAGAAACTTGGCGATCGAGTCGTACACGTTGCGGCCCCACTTGACCGCGTTCACAATCGACTTGAAGTTGTCGTCCATCAAGATAATGTCCGACGCGTCCTTGGCAACCGCCGTGCCGCAAATGCCCATGGCAAAGCCCACATCGGCCTTCTTGAGCGCCGGCGCGTCGTTGGTGCCGTCGCCCGTGACCGCCACGACCTGCGGGCCGTGGGGGTAAAGGTTGGAAGCGATCAGACCCGAGACGAGCGTGTACTTGTCCTTCGGGCTCGACCGCGCGAGCACGCGGAGCATGGGCCAGATCTTGTCAAACTCGCTCTGGATGATGTTGCCGTGAGCGTCCAAGACGCGGTGACGGAACTCGGCGCCTTCCATGACGAGCGACCCGTCGTTGGGCGAGAGGATGCCGCACTTGAGCGCAATCGACTTGGCCGTCGCCATGTTGTCGCCCGTCACCATGCGCACAACGATGCCGGCCTTGTTGCACTGGCGGATCGCACCCGGCACTTCGTCGCGGACCGGATCTTCAATGCCGACAATGGCCACGCACGTGAGGTCGCGCTCGAGGTCTTCGTCGGCCAAGCTCTTGATGTCTTCCATCGACGCGTTGATGTCACGGTACGCCAAGCAGAGCGTGCGGTATGCCTGGTTTGCATACGTTTCGATCACGTTCGTGTGGATGTGGTTCTTCTGCGCCTCGTCCAGCGGCGTCACCGACCCGTCGAGCTGCAGCTGCGACGTGCAAAGGTCCAAAACGATCTCGCTGGCGCCCTTGGTGAAGACGCGGCACGTGGTCGCCGAGATGCGGACGACCACCGTCATGCGCTTCTTCGTGCTGCTAAACGTGAGCATGTGGCCAATGTCGCCGGCCTTGCGCACGTCGGAGTAGACAACGCCCATATCGGTGGCGAACTGGAGGAGCGCGCACTCGGTCTTGTTGCCTGTGTGCTCGGGCTTGCCGCCTTCCTTGAGCGGCGGGAGGATCTCGGCCGTCGAGTTGAGGCAGATGCCGTCGCAGAGCGCGGCCATGGCATCCGGCGACAACGCAGCGCGGAGGTCAGCCGAGGACGAGAACTCCGTGTTGCCGACGTAGCTTTCGACGACGGTCATGCGGTTCGTAGTGAGCGTACCTGTCTTGTCCGAGCAGATGGTCGTCGCCGAGCCCATGGTCTCGCACGCGTCGAGGTGGCGCACGAGGTTGTGGTCCAAAAGCATCTTCTTGACCGAGAAAGCGAGCGCGATCGTGACGGCCAGCGGGAGACCTTCAGGGATCGCGACGACGAGCACCGTGATACCAATGATGAAGAAGCCGAGGTAGTCCGAGAGGAAATCGCTCGACCACTCCTTCGCCTTGTCGCCGGTGAACGTCACGATCGAGAAGCGCATGACGAGACCGACAAAGACAATGATCGCGGCCGCAAGGCCGAGCTTGCCAATGAGCACCGTGAGGCGATCGAGCTTGCCCTGAAGCGGCGAGACCGCCTCCTCATCTTCGCGATCGTCCTTGGACGTGCTGCGGCGCGACGTCTCGAGATCGAGTTCGGGCGCTTGGTTGTTCGGCGTCGCAACCGAGACGTAGTTGTCCTCGATCGCATCGGGCGTGTACGCCGGCTTGTGGCCCTTGCCCATGATGAGCTTCGAGATGATACCGGCCTGCGACGACTCGCCGACGCAGACAACAAGCATCTTGCCGACGCCTTCCATGACCTTGGTGCCCGAGAGAAGGAACGGCGCGTTCTTGCGGTTCTTGCGGAGGAGGATCGACTCGCCCGTCATCGCGCTCTCGTCAATGTTGAGCTCGTTCTCGTCAAACACGAGGCCGTCCGCAGGCAAGATGTCACCGACGTCGACGCGGACAACGTCGCCGACGACCAAGTTGAACTTGCTCACTTCGGCGGGCACGCCGTTGCGAATGACCTTGATCTTCTCGTCTTCCTTGACCGCGTTGAGCGCGCGGAACTGCTTTTCCTTCTGGTAGTCGTTGAGCGCCGTGACCAAGACGACGATGAAGACGGCAAAGAGGATCGAGACGCCTTCAATCCACGCCATGTTGGGCTCGTCGCTCTCGACCTTCGTGCCGTTGACCGGGTTCTTCGGGCCCGAGTCGTGCGGCGCGACGATACCGAGGATGAGCGAGAAGACACCAGCGACGCTCAAGATGATGATCGTCAAATCCTATCAACACGATGAGGATGAGTCATTCATTTCCGAGACGGCGAGAATGGGTACCTGGAACGCCTGCCACATGAGCTCGAAGATCGTGCTGGGCTTCTCGGGCTCGATGTAGTTCTTGCCGTAGGTCGCTTCGCGCTGCGCGAGGTCCGCGGTGTTGTCGTTGTCGAGGCCAATGTCGAGCGAGACGCCGAGCGACGCGGCAACGCCTTCGACGCCACCGAGGTGCGCGAGCGCGTCAGCCGCGCGCTCCTTGGGCGTCTCGACAAGTCGAATGAGGTCGCCAGTGAGCAGCTTCATTGTAAAATGGCAAGTGCTGAGACTGGAGCAAATTGTAGAATGATAGAAGCTCTGGTTTCTTCGTCTGTGTCGTCTTCTATCTCGTGGTCACCAGATGCTCGATGGTGGATACCCAGAACTCTGTGAACTTGCCGTTTGCCGGCGTCGTCGTGAACCTAGAGCCAGTGACTCGAAAGTTTTTAGCATCCACCATCTGACGAAGGTTAGAAGGACGTTTGTTGCACATGCTAGACGTGGGTACATGCATCCAGGTACCCATCTGTTTCGAGATTCGATATGGAGATTCCATGGCCATGCACGCGAGCTTGAGTGGTATGGGTGCAAACCGAGTGAACCTTGGGCGGTTCATGCCGGCGTCATATACCGAACCGTCTGTCGATCGCCTCTCCCCAACCACCCGCAACGCCATAGATCGCGTGTGATAACGCGCCAAGGGACCACGCCAGAGGAAAGGAATATTTTCGTAATGCGGCGCGTACCACTCACATGATGGTAGGTACAGCAGCTTGTAGGTACACATGAGGAAGAGGCGCAAGGCGCCTTTACCCTTGATGTCTACCGGCATCTTGGGAGCTTTCGAAGAGGTACCTAGTTCTCTCGATCAATTAGAGAGAAGGGCCAGAAAAAAGTCTCCTGTGCTTGTCCTCCAAGGCGCCAGTGCATACCCCTGGTAACGAGGCGGAAGAGTAGATGCATCTCGTGCTCAACGTGACGTGGATCGGCAAGCAAAACGTTTCCCAAGGGTCAATTAAATAATCATACTTTTGCCCCTTGGTTCTTCCAAGGCCAGCGTGAGGACGCTAGATCGAGGAAGGTCAACATGGCCACGCCATTGCACCGTAAAGCAAGGGTATAGCATAAATGTATTATATACCCTTGAGTAGAGATAGGAGCGAACGTTGATGCGAGATGAAATTGGTCCTCGACGATGTCGCGGCGCGTCGTGATGAAGATGAGACCTGGGAGACTGGCTGGTCGACTGCAGGACGCATGGACTCGATAGATAGCTGCGTAGAAGGATTTGCGCGGCAGCCGATTCGAGCAGCGGCCATGAATCGCCATGAGAAAGGCCTTGCAATGCCAAGGACGCAGTCCTCTTCGTGGTGGAAACGAAGCCGGGCCAGGCGACGTTGTGCAATCCAACGACTTTGCTCGGATCATTTATAGATGGCGCACTCGTGTTACGACTACGCATCTCGACAGCTTCACACCTTCCGCCATACTTCCTTCAGGAGCATGCGTTCCACGAGCCAAAATGGAGCTCACAATGGTCCAGTCGACAGAGTCTCTTCGGACCCATCTCGTCGAACGCAGTCACCCGCAAGGTTGAAACGTGTGCTTCAAGTAATAGCAATTGTGGAAGCTTCTTGCGAAAACTCCGTCGAAGTAGCTCGGTGCTTGACTCTACCTCGACCGCACGCGATGAGCTGTTGAAGAAGGATTCGAAGCGAGATGGATGGGCCGTGCACACAGCCGTGCATCGCAGTGCAGAGCGTTGTTTGCAGACGTTGGCGCCTCTGGTGTCTCGTGGCTTGAGCACGTTTTGCCCTCACAGCCTATGCCTATGAGGGCAAAACCTAAAGTATTAGCAAGGCGACGAATGGCCAGCAAAGCGAGTTCCGATCTCCATCAACGGACTACTCTTCCTCGAAAGCTCACACGCCCAGTCCTTCTACATAATCGGGGGGCTCATGCCCTTCGCGTCCAAGGCCGCTTTGCAAGCCCAATACATGCGGCGGTGCCTCCCGGCCCAAGCGCATTCGCTTTTCGCTCCAGGGTCCTGTCGTTTCATGCTCCGATACTCTATTGTTCGTACCAGCGTGGTGGTCGCCCAGTAGTATCTCGATCTTTTCGTAAATTAGGCCCTGGGCACGGCACCCAACGAGGCAACCCACCCGGCAACGTCCCTCGGGAAGCCTTCCTCGGTATATTGACGCTAGCCATCGCCAACATCGTCCTTAAACTCGGCCTGTTCGTGGCGCGAGGGATCCGCGTGACAACGTTGACGTACGAGAGGAGAGAGGCTTGGTGACGAGAGGCCAGAGGCTCCTTCTTTCGCAGAGCTCTCAGGCAGATATATCAAGTCTACTGGCTTAACGGGTGCTCACACATTACAATTTGTACAAGCTTTTCCTCGCCGTTCCAGCTTGTACAAGTTGTACCATCCATACCAATGGTCTAGCAAGACTGTAGGCAGACGGTCCTGCCAAGGCGTCGACTCATGGCCGACCTGAAGCCATCATCGTCCATACCATCAACGATCGATTGAATTGTGCAGTGCGGTCTATTTATTGGTCGTCCAACTTGGGCTTCTTGCCTTCGGGCTCGCCTTCTGCTCGATTTATGAGCCATCTTGACGTTCAATAAATAAATGAATGAAAACGTACCGACAACGCGCGCCAACTCGGCGCCGGCAAGGCCACGCGCACGGCTCTTCGGGCCCCAGTACGCTTCCGGGTTCTTGGGAAAACGAAGCGCCTTCTCCTTGCCCGCCGACGGACGCTTCCCCTACACGCATTGTCCATCGCAACGTAGTCCGCTGAAACCGAGATGCTTACCGTAAAGACCGCTTCGTGCTTGGGCTCCTTGGCGAGGATCTGCGTGCCCGCGTCCTTCTCCGACTCGTGCTTTTTCGAGATCGGGTGCTTCTTGACCCAGCAGCGCATAATGTCCCAGATGACATCGTTGGGCGCGTCCGTCTTGATGGCTTCCGGCACCTTGTGCGACTGCGACACCTTGTAGCCGGCGTTGAGAATGGCCGATTGCATTTGCTACGAAATCGTCAGAGCTCCTACAATCGCGACATCCCGACGTACGTCCATGCGCGGCTGGCCGCAGTGGAGCGTCTTGCAAATCCCATGGAGCGTGTAAAACAACGGCGCGTCGACCACCTTACAACGCACTTGAGCGTGCAGGCATCAAAAGCAACAAAACCTCTTCCGAGACGGACGTGAGTAGCCCGTGCAGACGGTCCTTGGTCGGGTACTTGGCGACACCCTCCTTGATGACGTTCTCGCGGATCTTGAGCACCAAGTCGCGGTCGTGGAGCGGGTTGGACCAGATGGGACCTAATCGCACAGTTCTTAGTGCATCTGATTCGTGTGACTTAAGATGGGTACATACCCGACATCTTGAATTTCTTGCCGCACTGGTCACAGAGCGCGCGCTCGGGCTCCTAGAGGGACCCGCGTTGGTCTCAAACAGGACAGCCACCTCTTGACGTACGACGAACGATGCGTGGTACGTCTTGCCGTTGAACTTGCCGAGCGGCTGCATGTGGAAGCTGTCGCAGCCCGTGCACTAGATGATGCAACGATGAGCCGGATGCGACGGAGAGAGTTTGGGGAAATCGAAAGCGGCGGCGTACTTGGTAGACGTACGACAGCTTGGTCATGGACGCCTTGACGTTCACGGGCGACTTGTAGACGCGGACAAAGACGCGGACGTAAAAGTCGATGCTGCACGAGACGATCGGCACAATGTGCTTTTGGTACCGGATGGCCGCCGACTCGATCGAGTGCAAGACTAGACCGAGCATCAAGATGGATCGAGACACGGAGGAGGATGGAGCATACCCATGCGGAGCGCGTTCTCGTGGAGGTAGTTGGACTTGTACGGGACGCTGCCGTAGCGGTGGAAGCACACGTCCGGGTCCTTGCCCGAGAGCACGGGCATGTCGGTGCACGTGACGCAGAGAAGACCGCCGTTCGCAATCGCCTGCACGGCGCCGTCGAGGAAGATGGACGCCGAGCCGTACGGATCGAGGTCGATCACGTCAAAGTTGTCGGCTTCCTTGCGGTGGCGGTACATGACGGACGTTGCGTCGTCTTCGTTCGGGATGAGCTTGTCGGTCGTCAAGCCGTTAAACTAGCACCCGATCATCATCGGTGAGGACCCACGTCGCGACAAAAGACGATGCACCTCAATGTTGCGCTTGATCGAGATGACAGCCGCCGGGTCGAGGTCGTTGACAAGGATCGACTTGACGCCAGCAATCTCTTGCCAGTAGCGGATCGAGCGCAGACCACTGGCCGAGAGCGCTTCAAAGATCTTGAGGCCGCTCGTCTCCGCGTGCGCGAGCACATGCGCCTTGACCTCGTCGTCGGTCGGCAGGTCCTCGTTCTTCTCGCGCTTGCGCTGCTTGAGGATCGCCTCGCGGGCGCGCTCGTGCGCAAACTGGTTGATGACCGCGATCGAGAGGTCGCGGTTGAGCACTTGCACCTTGTTGTAGAAGACCTGGTTACCCTTGGGGAAAATGATCTTGGCGCGGCCTTCCTTGATGATCTCGCCGTCGGCCATCGGCGTCGGCGTCTTCGTAGCGTCAGTGCTCATGCTGCGGCGGCAGGTCGTCCGGGAGAGCGGGCGATGGCGTGGGAAAAGCCGATGTAACATCATGGACACTTGAATGGTGCTCCCAAAAACGTGCCAATTTCCACCAGTAGAATTCGAGCTCACGCGGGCGGCTTGCATCTCAACCCGCCCGCCCATTGGCCCGTTGCGGCAAGCTATTTGCGGCAGACGGCGGCTTGGATTCGGCATCCTTGTTGCCCACCAAAACAGCACTCCATGCAAAAGAGGCGCAAGAAACACCAAGGACTGCAACAAGGGACGCGGGTGGGGCTCCAGATGGATGCTATATACAAGGATGCACAGTGCGCAGTCCGCAGTGGTCGCTGAGTGTGCCATACACGATGAGATATGACGTTGAAAGGGAGAAAGCGTTGAAAGTCTCCCATTCAAGTAGAAGGTAAGGAAGGGACAGGACCGATAGCCTTGCTCCACACTTGTAGTTTAAAATGTCTCTCATGGTATGCTTTCCTTACTTGATGTGAGGTCTGAGCTTGTACGTGCCCGCTGGTGGAGCATGATGGCTTTCAATATGGCACATGCCGATTCTTATGAACCGTATGGTTTTCAGTCATTTTAATAAAATCCGATCTTCGTGTCTGGCCTCGTATCCGGATACGGGATTGCGGCAAGAAGGTTCCTCCTGCTGCGACGATGGGAGCGACCTCGAGCATCGACGATGGGCCTGCGGACCTCGAGCCCTACGACCGCCTGCGCGAAGGCTTCCGCCGCTTACTGCCGCCGGGCGCGCCTCGAGGCCATGGCATCGACCGCGCGACCTTCCGCTACATGGTGCTTGCGTCCTTCCCTCGCTTCCCGCGGACGCTGGCCGAGCGCATCTTTGACGTGCTCAACGTCGAGCACTCGGGGCTGTTGCAGCTGAGCGAGCTCCTCGCCGGCCTCGAGCTCTCTCGCGACGTCCTATCCGCGGACGCCAAGCTGCAGCAGGCGTACCGCGAGAAGCAATGCAAGCTCCTCTTTGGCATCTACGACTACAACGACACGGGCTTGCTCCAGCGCGACGTCCTCGAGCGCTTTGTCATTGTCATCTACGGTGCTTCGACGCTGCCGCTTGTCGCACCCGCGCTCGACTTGCTCTTTGACAAGGCCGCGCTCGCGCAGGTCGACCCCGTCTCCTCTTTTCTGCATGCGTGTTGATCTCGATCTAGGCGCCGTTCCTGACGTACGCCGAGTTCCACCGCCACTTTGAGACGCACGATGCGTCGTTGGACTTCCTCTTCCACTGGCTGGCGAAGGTCGCGCGGCACGTCGGTCGCGGCCCCGACCCCGGGATCGGCGCGCTGCAGTCGGCGTACAGCGTCGTCGCGATCCGCGACCGCATCCAAGCCGATACGCTCCTATCCATTGAAGAGATTTGCAGCCTTGAAAAGTGGTTCCAGCGCGCCCTCACCAGCGGCCAGCGCCTCGCAACGGCGGCGTTTGTTCAAAGCACCTTTGCCGCCTCTACGACGCCGACTTTTGTCGACGCCCTCAAGCGCCACCTGGGGCCGCGCCTCGACTTTTACCAGTTTTGCGTTCTCGTGTCGACCTTTGGCCGGAGCTCGACCGATGACGCGCTGCGGTACCTCTTTCGCATCGTCGCCGACCCGGTGCGCCATCGATTGGCCCACGCGACGCTCGTCTCGCTGCGCCACCCGACGAACGACTGCGACAGCTCTTCCCATGTACGACACCTCGCATCTCATTCTCTCTCAAGATATTGTTGACGGTGTCTGTAGAGCGCAGACGACATGTTGGCCGAGAACGACGACGACGACGACCTCGTCGACGAGTACACGTTCGAGGCTTTTGTCGCAAAGGCGTCGTCGTCGGTGCAGCCGCTCTTGCACGCACTGGCCATCGCCGTCTCGTCCCAGTTCAACTACAGTGTCAAGCCGCAGACGCCCGCGATCGAGCGCTGCATCGTGCGCGCTCGCTGGCTCGAGTACACGGTGCCGCAGCGCTCGCACGTACGCTGCCCGTGTTGCTTTTCATGTTTGCGTCATGGACGAGACCTGTAGATCTGGCATCTCGTCGACACGGCGTGGTGGTGTGCGTGGTGCAAATACTCGGGCTTCCACGTGCTCGAGGGTACCCGCGGCGGGTCACTGCCGTTTCCAGCTCTCCCCGCACGGGTTGTGCAGACGACGGGCCTTGACGTATGCGACGACGACGCGTCGACGACCGAGCGGCCACCGCGCATCAACAACTGGGCGCTGCAGCTGCGTGCCGGTAGCCGCCGGCTCCAGCCCACCATGGTGCTCGGCCAGCATTTTCACGTACGTTTTCTTTTTGTTGTTGAAATGCGCGGTCATTCTGGATGTGCTTTGGATTAGCTCGTGCCCGAGCCCGCGTACACGGCGTTGGTCGCGTGGTACGGCGGCGGCCCGCCTTTTGCGCGGTCGTATGCGATCGGCGATGACGGACACTTGACGCTGGAGCTCTTCCCGCTCGTGCTGCGCGTCGCCAAGACGAATTACCGCGGCGACGTGACGTTGTCAGGCGAAGAGATTCTCGTCGGCGCGCACTCGACGACGGCGTCGATGCTCCACGACTGCTGCCACGCGCTTGTCGTCCTGCGCGAGGCAGTGGCCAAGTCTCGTCTCTGGGCGTTCCGGCACGACCAACCCCTCGCCAAGGTTTGTTTGTTTTGTGGTTTTGTTGCGGCAGAGAGCGAAATGACTTGGGTAGGTGCTACTACCGCCTAATGCGCTGCCCTACGCCCAGCTTAGCCAAGAGTGGGTCCTGCTCGTTGAAGTCCAAGACAGTGATGGGTCCTGGCCGCTCTCCCAGGTAGCTCCTCCGTTTCTACGATACAGCAAGAAGACCATGCATGCGTGATTAGCCGGAAGGCAGTCTTGACGATATGGCCGAGACGCGCCCGCCGGCACCCAATGCGCCGAAATCCTACTCGAACGGCCTCGTCGGGCTCGACAATCTCGGAAATACGTGCTACATGAGCAGCGCGATCCAGTGTTTAAGCCACTCGCGCCTGCTCAGCGACTACTTCCGCACGGGACTGTACCGCCACGACATCAACACGCGCAATCCGCTGGGCATGCAGGTACATCGCTCGCCTCTTCTTTTCAGACGCCAATGCGTGGGCGGTAGGGACGCCTCGCCGCCGCGTTTGGTCAGCTCGTGCAGCAGCTCTGGACAACGCCCAAGAAGCACTTGTCACCATCGCCGTTCAAGGCTGTGCTCGCCAAGTACAATAGCCACTTTGACAACGACGACCAGCACGACGCCCAAGAGCTCCTTGCGTTTCTGCTCAGTGGTCTCAGCGAAGATCTCAACCGCGTCGTGGAGCCACCACCAGGCACGCCGATCGCCGACAGCCACGGCCGGCGCGACGCGGACGTAGCCGACGAGTGGTGGCAGACATTCCTTCAGCGCGAAGTCTCGGTCATTGTCGCACTCTTTATGGGCCAGTACAAGTCGCTGCTCACGTGTTCGCGCTGCCATTTTGCGTCGGCGTCGTTCGAGCCCTTTACGTTTCTCCAAGTACGTCGTACATGGCTTCCAACGCGATGGCCCTCATCACAGCGTGTAGCTGCCGCTGCCCGAGAGCACGCTGCGGCACCTCGTCTTGACGATCATTTTTCGGTGCGACCGACCGCCGCTGCGCGTCACGGTGCCCGTCCAGCGCAGCGGCACCATTGCCGACGTCAAGCAGGCCGTCTTGGCCCTCGGCGTCGTCGAGACGGCCCACCTCAATGTCGCGTGCCTCCAAGGTCGAGAAGGCGTTGTGCACACGGTCTTTGCCGAAGGCCATAGCGTGTCGCACATCCGTGACGACGCGCCGCTCATCGTCTACGAAGTCGACGACGTCACCGTCCTTGAGCACTTGGCGACGCGCGATCCGACGGCCCCGCTTCGAGTCGGCGATGCGGTTGGCGTCCCCAGCGATCGTGGCGGCACGCCATCACACGCTCGCATCACGCAATGCAATGCCAACGGTACGTACGACATTGCGTACTGGACGGGCAAGCGCGACACGGGGTAGATATTCATGTGTTCCGACGTCTCTTGATCTTGTGTGTATTGTAGCTTGTCGCGCACACGCGTCTTGCAGTACGCGGGCAAGAGCGTGCACATCTACTTGGTGCACCGCCGCATGGAGCACTCGAATGTCTTTTTGACCGACCCGTGCGTTTTGCGGCTGTTTGGGACGCCGCTCGTGCTGCCGTTCGTGCCAAGCGCCACCACGGGCTACGTCTTGTACGTGGCCGTCTGGCAACGTCTGCGTCGTATCTTTCACTGGACCGAGCTGCCTGCGCCCCGCACGACAGCTCGCGCACCTGGCGCGCGCAGCAACGTGGCGACCGTCGCCCTCGGCCGCGGCCTCGGTACACGTGCTTCGTCCCCTGGGTATTCGTATGAAAAGACGATGATGATGGGTGTAGAGGACACGGGGTTCGGGTTTTGTCTGCGGATGGTGACCACCGATGGGCTTGCGTGCTCGCGCTGCGACTGGCTCGAGGGCTGCCGAGGCTGCTTGGTGCCAAGCGACGACGTTGCCCACGTCCAAATGTGTGGTCGAGAGACGCTAGCGATCGATTGGGACATTGCGACCATGACCGAAGTCTACGACAGCGGCGAAGCCAGCAAAGTTGTGGTGCGAGCGCCCACGATCGCAGTAGGACGTGCATATGGACGCGGCGTAGGTGCATCCGAGCTACCATACGTACAAGGCGGTGGTCGACGCGCCATTGAGCTTGGCATCGTGTCTGCTCGAATTTACGGCCAGCGAGCCCATGGACGAGGTCGGCGTCTTGGCATATTCAGTGACTCAGGATGTTCTGAACAGGCCTTTTGCGGCCGCTGCAAGGCGCTGTCGCCTTCCACCAAGAAGATGGACCTCTGGCGCCTCCCGCCATTGCTCGTGGTCCAGCTCAAGCGCTTCCAGTACACGTCGTCGTCCAAGAAGAAGCTGCGGCAGCTCGTGCATTTCCCGCTGCGCGGCTTAGACTTGGCCGATGTTCTCGTCAAGAAGACGCTGACACCGGGGCTCGAACATTGGCAATTTCTCGGCGGCAAGCTCGCGACACGCAACGAGGAGTCGAGTCCGAATAGCATCTACGACTTGTATGCTGTTATCAACCACATGGGCGCGCTGGGCGCGGGCCACTACGTCGCCAACGTGCTGAGCGAAAGCGACAAGAAGTGGCGGTGCTTCAACGACCACCTCTGCCGCGACATTGACGAGCGCGATGTGGTGTCGTCGTCGGCGTACATATTATTTTACGCCCGCCGAGACATGCAGTCGCTGCCCGTGCGCCAAGTGTTTCCGCCCAACACGACAGTGAGCCCGCTCTCGGACGACGAGCTTACGGCAATGCTCACGGATCGGGATGGCTCGCGTTGTACGATTAGCTAGCTTTTTAGGATAACCTACAGACAGATATGTTCCTCGGTAGTATACATGCACTGGACCACTCGTGGTGTCAGCCAACAGGCTTGGTTGTTCAAAAGAGGCTCGGTACGCGGTATCGAAGCGCCGACCAGTGCCTCGACGGGCCACAAAAGCCATCTCTTCAGCCGGCGAGCGAGTGAAAAATCAAGGTACATGTTGATCTCTTGGTAAACCAACAAAGAGAGAGCTTGAGACGTGGGGTATCGACATGGCATTCAAGCGGGTTAGGGCTCGACGTGCAAGGCGGCGGTAAACTCGTCGGCCGAGTACAGCGGTGTGCCGAGCCGGTGCTCGAGCACGGAGAGAAACATGCGCACGCCGAGCGGGAGCGCGTCGTCGTTGAAATCGAACGCATCCGAGTGCACGTCGCGGACCTGCGAATCGTCGGCGCCTTTGGTGCCGAGGAAGAAGAAGCAGCCGGGGCGTTCCTGGAGGTAGTACGACATGTCTTCCGACGCCATCATGGGTAATCCCGCGTCCGTCGCGACCGCAATGGTTCCCGCGACCTTGGCCACGATCGCTGCTTGCGCCGGCGCGTTGATGACGGCCGGGTACCCTTCCTGCATGGTGATCTCGGCCGTCGCATTGTGCATGGCGCAGATGCCGTGGACGAGCGCCTCAAAGCGCGTCCGCATGAGCGTGGCGGCGGCTGGCGAGTAGTCGCGCATCGTGCCACCGAGCGTCGCAGTCGTCGGGATCACGTTGTTGGCTTCGCCTGCGTGCACCTGCGTGATCGAAAGCACGGCCGTGTCGTACGGCGAGAGGCTTCGGCTCACGATGGTCTGCGCTGCGCTGATGATCTGCGCGGCGATGACGACGGGGTCGCGGCACAGCTGCGGCGCGCTGCCGTGCCCGCCCGCGCCAGTGATGCGCACATTGAACTCTTGCTCGTGGGCCATGACGGGCCCGGGCCGGACATGGACCTGGCCGAGTGGGAAGCCATAGTTGTGGTACCCGTACACCTCGTCGACGCCGTCGAGGCAGCCGTCGCGGATCATCGAGAGCGCGCCGCCGGGATTCTCTTCCTCGGACGGCTGGAAGAGGAGCCGGACGCGTGTTTGCGCTGGCAGCAGGTGGCGCTTGCGCTGGAGCAAGATGGCAAACCCAAGCAGCGTCGCCATGTGCCCGTCGTGGCCACACATGTGCGCGATCGCTGGCGACGTCGACGCGTACGATAGGTGCGCATTGCGCTCAGTCATCGGCAGCGCGTCCATATCGGACCGGAACGCGACGCAGCGCACGGGCGTCGCCGTCGCAGCAGCGGTCGGGAGCGCATCAATGTCGACGACGAGCCCAGTCGTCGCGCAGGCGCGGATGCTTGCCTCGGGGATCTTGGCCTCGTCGATGAGGATCGAGCGAAGCGTGCGCTGGGTCCGGACCTCCTGGAACGCGAGCTCCGGGTGGGCGTGGAGGTCGCGCCGCAGCTGGCGCAGAAGCGGAAAGAGGTTGACCATCGCAAATCTTGAAATGACCCACGACGATGCGATTGGCAAAAATTCAACCAATCAAAAGGCGCGACGACATCAGCTTCAAGCCACAAGATTTGGCGGCGTCCGAGGTCGGAGCAAGTATGCACCCACTCGATTCGCCTTCATGCTAATACTACGAGCATGTTCTGGTAGGCATGCCAATACCCCACGACCAGCTTTGCTTTGCTCGTAGAGAGAATGATGACCTTGTCGTTCTCACGTGCTATTTCCATTTTGGCTAACATCAAAAGCAGCACAGATGAACGCTCGTTGGACACTTGTATGTTGCAACGCTGGACAGTAATTTAGGTGGGCATGCCTTGTCGTCCCGTTAGTACTGCTACTGCTGTACTGGTCTATCCTTGCTCCGTTCAGTGCAATGCTTTGCTAACGTCGTGCTTTTTATTGAAAGCGCTGGGCGCTCAACCTCTCTTCGTACAAGACGGCGCGGCAAAGTACAGGAATTTACTGTGATTTACCGTCAAATGCACCGCACCACGGTGCAAGTCCCGCCTCCCGCAGCTGGCCGATGTGGGTTTCGGCGACCCATTGGGGGCAGTTTTGGTGAAACGGGATTCTGGAAATTTAAGAAAGGTCCGCCAATCACATCGCACGCCAAAAATTCGCAGCCAATCAGAACCCGTCCAACGCGATCCGACCCTTTGGCGCGACGCTTGGGTGCCACTTGCAAAAGGTGGGCTTCCGCATGACTATTTTCGTTTTGTAGTCCTCAGTGCAAGAGCTTCTGTAGAATGTACCGTCTTCTCGCCGGCACCGCCGCCGTCACTGCTGTGGCTGCAACGGACGCAGGCTACGCGCCCCAAGTGAAGAGCGGCTACGGCGGTGGCAACACTGGCTACGCGCCCCAAGCCAAGAGTGGCTACGGCGGCAACAACTACGCTCCCCGAGGCAAGGGCGGCTACGGTGGTGGCAAATCTGTCTACGCGCCCAAAGGCAAGGGTGGTGACGACTACGCTCCCAAAGGCAAGGGCTACAACCGCAAGACAGTGTCGTTTCCGCCGGCGTACGCAATCATCGACCCCGACTACTACAGTACCATCTTTACGGGGTACCAAAACTGTGTCGCAGCCAAGTGCGATGTGCTTCCGAGCGACTACAGCGCGACTGGCATCAACGACCGCATCTCGACGATCGCGGGCTACACGTCGTGCGTCACGGCGTGTGCGGCCGGCCAAGCACTCGAGACTGTCGAGGACTTCCGGACGCTGCTCGAGAGCGTGATCGAGATCGGGAACGACCAGCTGCGCCAGGCGCGCGTGTACCTCTCGGGCCTCGGTGAACTCGACGTGATTGGCGAGCGCGTTCACATTGGCGAGTCGTGCTGCCTCCCCAACAGCCACTTTGCGTCGTGGGAGCGCATCATGATTCCTGTCAAAACGAAATTGAAGCGGTCGCCCAACGACCACGGCAACGCGTACCATCCCCGATACCCGACCAAGAACCTGGTCTCGCCGCCCAGCGACAGCACCGCGGAGGCCACGCCTTACATGATGTCGGCGGCCGACTACATCAGCCACTGCACGTCGGTAGCGAAATCGATGGAGTGGCTCGACGATAGCGTCTGCGACGACACGAACAAGATTGAATACTTGCAGGCGCTTCAGCGCAACATTGGGCATTTGATTCTTGCGCCGTCGTGCGTCACGGACGCCCCCGACGGCGCGTGCTGCGAGGACGCCCACCCGAACCCGCGCGCGGTGAGCTTTCGCGGTGACGTCTGCGTCGCGACTACGTACGAAGTCAACGGCAAGATCAAAACGCTAACGACGCCGCTCATCAAGCCCACGGCGACGTCCAAGACAAGAGGCCAACGCTACGACCCGTGCCCGTGCGACGAAATCCAAGGAGCTGATGAGACGCCCAAGCGCATCCACTACGACCACGTTAGCGCCCGCGATCTGCTCTACTACACGGTGACCGAAGGGCTGCCGTCCAGCTACTCGCCCGCAACGGAAAACGGCCCCTCGACTTGCAACTCAAGGTCGGCTTGGCGATGCAAACCCCCGACGGACTTCTTTACGGACATCCCCGTCGAACGAGACCCCCGCCCAACGACGTCCGACCCC